GAGCAGGGAGCCCGATGCGAGGCTCGATCCCAGGACCCTGAGATCATGACCTGAGCCAAAGGCAGACGCTTAACAACTGGGCCACCCAGGCGCCCCTCATTTCATTTCATTTTAAATAGGCTCCACATCCAGCATGGAGCCCAACATAGGGCTTGAACTCACAACTGTGAGATCAAATCCTGAGCTGAGATCAAGAGTCAGACACTTAACTGACTGAGCCACTCAGGTACCCCCTAGTTATATTTTTAATTCTGTCTTAATTCCAATGTCAAAAAGCATACTCTGAGTCATTTCAATTCTTTTAAATTTTTTGAGGTTTGTTTTTGACCAGAATATGGATAATTTTTATATATTTCATATGCACATTAAATATCACGTATTCTCCAGTGTGCTGTGTATGTCAGTTTATTCCAATATGATTATTGTGTTGCTCAGATTTTTACTATTCTTGGTGTTTGTGTGTATATGTCTTCTTATTCTCTCAGGAATCAAGAGAGTTGTATTAAGTCTACTATGACCGTGGATTTGTCTATTTTTCATTTCTATTCTCTCAGTTTAACTTTATATATTTTGTAATTATCTTATGAGCATATATTCAGGCTTAGAACTGATATAATACTGGTGGATTTACTTCTTTACCATTATGAAACATCTCTTTTATCTCTATACATGTAATGCATCTTTCCTCAAAGTCTCCTTTGTCTTATATGAATACAGCTACACTAGGTTTATTTTGGTTAGTGTCTGTATTATATCTTTTCCTATTTTTTTTAACTTTCAACCTTTTTGTTGTATCTCACACAAACACACATTTATATGATAGCATATACAACAGTTGAACTTTTCTTATACCTAGTCTGAAAATTTTTGGTTGTTTAATGGGATCATTTAACCTAATCACAATTAATGTAATATTTGATAATTCTTCATTTATATTTACCATCTTTTTTAATTGTCCCTAAAGTTTCATTCTTTTTTGGATTATTCAGATATTTGTTATTTTTCATTTTCCTTCAATTAGTGTTTTAGTTAATCTTGTAGTAATTATCCTACAGATTAAAGCATGCATCTTTGATCTACAAGAGTATAACAATTTTTTAAATTTTACTACTTCCATGATAATGTTTAGAACTCATTAACTGTATCTATACCATCTTCCTTTTACATTATTATTGTCATGAATTTAAATTTTATATGTATTTTAAATCTTTTAAGAAACTATTATTTTTGCCTTCTATAGTCAATATTAATTTATATTTACCTTTCCTGTTGCTCTTCATTTCTTCCTGCAAGTCCGATTCCTTTAGGACTGTTTTCCCTCTGCCCAATGAATTCCACTAAAAGTATTTCTTTTAGTGCAGATGTGACTGTGATTAATTCTCTTGGTTTTTGTTTGAAAACTGTATTTTTGAAATATATATTTTCTGGTAATATAAGAGTGCTAGTCTGTTTTTTTCCCCATGACCTTAAAGGCATCATTTCTTTGCCCTTTGGTTTCATGATTTATGTGGAAAAGTCAGCTGTCCATTTTATTGTTGCTCCTTTAAGAGTAATGTGTCATTTCTTGGTATTTGCTTTTAATGTTTTCTCTTTGACTCTGGTCTTCAGCATCTTTCCTATTATATGTCTAGGTGTACTTTGTATTTTATTTCTCTTGATTTGGTTTCCCCAAGTATCTTGAGTGGTGAAGGATTTTCACAAATTTTGGAAAATTTTTGGTCATTCTCTCTTCAAACATTGCTTATTGTCTATTCCTAGTATCTCCTCTCCTTTTAGGATTACAATCATATGTATGTTAGAGTTTTTCATTATATCCCACATATCACTAATGTTCTTTTCTGTATTTTTCATTATTTTCTCCTATGCTTCTATTTGGATGTTTTATATTGGTTTGTCTTGCATTCACTAATCCTGTATTCCTTTATGTCTACTAAGTCATAAACTACCTAAATCGTTTTTAATTCCAGATTTTATTTTTTCAGTTCTATAATGAATTTCCATTTAAAATTTCAATTCTCTGATGAAATTCTCTTTTATTTATTTTCTCTATTCTTTATTTGTAACCTATTAGTCACACTTATTTTAACATCACTGTCAGTAAATTTTAGTATTTGTTTCTTCTTTACGTCATTTGTATTGTCTGTTTTTTTTTCTCTAGGTTTTATTCATGTTAACCAGTTGTTTTTTTTTGTATGTGTGACTAGTAGTTTTTTACTGAATATGGAATATTTATGTAAAAAGCTCTCCAGGATCCAGATGATATTATTTTTTTCCAAAAAGAATTCACCTTTTCCTCTGTTAACTTGATAGAGACATGTCTCATCAAATTTCATTAATCCAAATAGGCACTGTGCTTAGTCAAGGTGCTTTGCAGTCCTGATAAGCACCTAACACTCCAGAATGATCAGTTGAGAACTTAGTTTATTTTCCACAGTCCCTTCCCATGACAGGTTCTAAACCCTAATCTTTATGTATCAAGACTATCAAAACTGACTCTGCTGTTCAGAGATTTTTTACTTAGGCTTTTAGTCTTCCCTGGAATGTCCCTGAGTTTGACAAGTATCTTGAGGGGAAAAATTGGCCATGGGCTTGAATCTTCCAGTCTGCCAAAGGCTACTGAAGTTGCTCTAGCCTGCAGCAGGAGCCTTTTGTCTGTTCTAAGACTTAGCAAAGTTCCGCAGGGCAAACTGACTGTAAAAGTCAGTTCATAACTCCAAGAAATCTTAGCTGTTTGAGTT